GGAAAATCGCCTGTAAGATGGCAGTCGGCACAAATAATAATAAATAAAATTGTGCAATAACGCCGCCTTCGCGTTCTGAATATTCAAGCTGGGATTACGGTGTTTGATGTCTGCCGCAAACGTTTGAGAGAAAACACTAGTATAATCACACGAATGACGCTCGTCCTTGATTGATAAATTATAAATCCGAAATACAAAAATTGACGCAAGCGCCGAAGAGGCGGAAAACGATTGCGAGTCCCATGGATTCGAATACCCCGGATTCGGTATTCTATATCGTCCATCCTTACCTGGGAGTATCTGAATTTTTACTTTTGTGCTGTAATCCTGGTATAAACCTTTAATTACTATCCAATAATTGCAATCACAGAACAGCAGAATTACTCCGCCCCGACTCTACTTTGATAACTTATGGTGCCGGCAAAAAGATGACTGGCAGATGCCACGACCCCTTACTTTATCCTAATGCCTCAGTATATCTTTTCAGTTATTTCAACTAACAAAACCATTCCAAATGCGCAAATAAATTCAAACTGAATCCTCTTCCGTAAGCTTCATACTATAGCAAACTGATGACGTAGAACGCATCACTCATGCGTAGCGAACCGGTCGTGAGCGAAATATATTCAGTAAACTATGATTTAATACCGTGTTTCCCAGAAAAAAAAAGATTTACTCTGAAAGACCTAGCCTGAATTTTGAAAATAATTTTAATATAAGCCCTCCCCTTAAAATAAGACATAGTCAATAACGCGAATTTTTTTTTTACCTAGTCGCTAGCAAGAAATCCCTCCTACACGTTTCAAATGATTGATAATCTATGTTTTACAGTTATTTTGACTAAAAACGTGTTATTTATAAGTAAATAGATATTGGTTTTCATATTTTGTATATTTGAAAATCTCGTAATTCTTTACTTTGTAATTTTGTTTTTGATAAATGAAAATATAAGACATCCCCCAAAACAAGCTCTAGTGTTATTTTTCGGAAGAAATTTCAAATAAGACCCAGTCCCTTTTTCGGGGAAACACGGTATCTGTTTTGAGAGTGATTTTGCAAATTGTTGGTTAAACACTGATTTACATGTACATAACCGTCTTTTTGATTCAAAGTTTGCCGTCGCCACAGCTGATAGCTAATTTTGGCCCAATCTATCGCAGCTTTTTCCAGAGTGATTTTTAACTACTCCAAATAAGTTTAAAAAGCGGAGAGGAAAATGAATTTTCACTCTTTTGAATCATATCTGAATTTCGAAAACGCAATTAAAATTTGGCAAATTGCTAGTAAACGAGACAATATTCACAAACATGATTAAGAATATGTCTGGTATGTTAGTCGTTGGTCTGACCGATCAAACAATTTTCCATTGCTGCGTCCCCTCAGCTTATTGGTCACTCTTACAAACTTGAACAAGGAAGACGGCGCTCGAGTAAACGTCCACTATAGGAACAAAAATCTTAAAGTATCTGAATTGATATGTTGTATTTCAGCAGGATCAAGACAATGAGTGGTATCCACGGCAGAATATTTTCTATTAATCAACGGAAACGAAATAACTCCGCGTACGCTCGCAGAAAGATCGCTTCATTCATCAGGAAACATGAAAATTTTATTTAAAACCCTTAAAATAGTCTAACAGATAATGATAACAAAGATTCGAATTATATAATATTATGTTATTTGAAGAAAACAATAAATACGTCTGAAGGCGCAAATCGAAATACCATGAGCCGTCCCTTTGTTCAAATAAACGCGTATTTAATAGCAAAATTTGCTCAATAAATCCCAGTGCTGCATGTCACTCGCTTCTGGGTACTCGAGCGATGGCACAAATGATTTTTGTTTTGAAAAAGACGACCTAATCATATAGCAAACCACGGCCTCTCGTCCGATTAAAAGTTCATGTCGGGTATGGCTTTAATTAGTCAATTACATGTTTCAGATGTATGGTCTTGATGGTGGGGGAAGCAGTAATCGACCAGCGGCGGCAAGGAGTCGTGCAAGCTAGTGTATAGTCGGGTTTGTAGAGCTACAATTTGTCGGTATCTTTTTATTATTATGTTATTGATTTAAAATACATTTTTAGTCGGTTTTTATTGGTAAGCAATTGTAAATTTTTGGAGTGCAAAATTGACTGTGCTCGCGTGCATTATCACGGAGCGCAAGCACTCTCTGGAATCCAGTCTTGACTCTGGTCGGAACCAGCCAATGTTCCGATACCTTATATTATTGCAGGTATATGCATAAAAAGATATGAATGATGGAATGGGCAATTCCACACTCCGACACTACCGTATTTATAAACGTTCCGCCGAACTTTGGCCCTAGAAAATTTCTCCTTCTGTATATATATATATATATATATATACTTTACTTTGCAAATAATTTTACACCTATTTGAGAACCCAGATTCGCAGACGTTTGTTGACCCAAACGTTGACAATATTCCAAACACAACTCGTAAGACATTAGGGTATTTTTCTATTGGCATGCTTTTCCAACTTAATGGACCCTCCCCCTGAAGCGCATTTCAGTTGGTCTCCCTCATAAAATCGATCATCTCCAACGCAGTTTCCTCAAAATTACCAAGGCAGAAAAAGTCAAATGGAACCGGAGCAAGATCCGCATGCGCCTCGCGAGCCGCATGTTGGCCACCCCTGCTCTACATCATAACAAGAAGCAAACAATCCAGTTGAATTGGCAGAATATATATCCCATTTAAAATTAGCCAAATTACTGAAATTACTCGCACGTACCAGATTAAGCTAAATTAAAAACTCGTTTCAGGGCCGCACACCATTCAAAATTGTCACTTCTAAGCCGGCAGCACAATTTTTCTTTGTGTACCTCTACATCATAACAAGAAGCAAACAATCCAGTTGAATTGGCAGAATATATATCCCATATAAAATTAGCCAAATTACTGAAATTACTCGCACGTACCAGATTAAGCTAAACACTATTCCTGGTGTTCTGATGTTTGACTGAAGATCGATGGGGTTTGAACTTAAGCATTGAGCAGAATAGATGAATGTATGTTTCCCCTTTCTTGATCTCTAAAAAATCCATCCTGTAATCAGCTACTACGGTAACATATACCAGTGCAAAGTCTGTGATGCTAATTTTGAGGATACCGGTTCTCGCAAATTCGCGCATGCAAATTGGTCTACATTTTGAAAATAACCATTCTGTCCCAAAAATCTGCAAACACCTCTAATAAAAAAGAACCAGCACAGCACAGAAGCACAGTCCTCCCCTTTTTTCGATTACTGCAACCGACTTCTCTGACCAAAAGGCGTTTTGAGTTTGTGACTTATTGATTTTAATCGGTAGCCTAAGTATGTTGATAGGTATTTGTCTGTATGTCTGTTAGATGCACGCGATATCTCAAGAAAGCGAGTTTGCATGTGCGTTCATCTTATCTCGGACCAGAAGCCTATTGATTTTGGGCGAATTATGTCGTATAATTAGCGAGTTATTAATTAATTAGTTATGGGACACAAGGTGTCACTATGGAGTAAGAGCGCTGTTTTGGGATCCCCTAACTTTCGATCGATAAGTCTTCGGTCTCTGACCGATATTCTATTTTTACATTTGCCGTTGGAGTTGGTTGAAAACAATATTATATAAATACATGTGTGGATTTGTAGAACATTTGGGCATATTTTGGGATAGAATTACATGTGCAAAAAGCTCATTTCAGATCAAATTAGTAATTAGCTTAAGAGGATTTCAGTAAAGTACTGCTATTATATCTTTAATTCTTGTGGGCTGCACGTGACATAAAATACACGTTTCAATTTATGATGATGCAGTGAGAACGGTAGCTATGGGTTGCCAACCATACTTTATTTTGAAGAACATTCTTCTAATGAAGTTTGAATGTTCTTTATTTCTATCACCCTCATAGGAGCTCCAAAACATTTGAAAGTAAATAAAATGTTATATAATTACTGTACAGTTAATACCAAATAATCGTGTTCCTCAGTCGTTTGTTGCAAATGCGTTTAAGACCACATTTGACTAGTTTCGTTTGCCGTTTACGGGAGGTCCTTGAAAGTTGATCAAGTTCAGTTGAGATGTGGGCATTGGCGAGATAGGAGTGTCCGTGCCCCATTTGCTAAGATGACATATTAGAGCTAAAACGGCAATGGAACAAAAACCAATGCTGGTTTTCGCTTACCGACACCCGTCTAGTCTGGCATATATACAGGCGGCGTAAAATGTGGTTGAACGGTATATATTTTCAGTTTTTATGTCATATGATAAAGATAAATGAATTTTTAACAAAACTACTCTGAAACATTTGCGTTTGTGAAGACTTTGAGAATCATTTGTTTCGGTCGCAGACAATAATGCAGTTACGACAAGTGTATGTAACTCTCAAATCTTTGTATTCTGTTGAAAATTAGTTTGGTATTTAGGAAACTGTCAATGATTGGATAGGAACAATTGTATGTTTGCATGTGTTATCATATTCGTACTTGATTGTATCATAAAGAGACTATTGACCATGAAATCAGTCGACGCTCTTGTAGGTGAAGGCGCAGACCTGCCTACTTGGGTGGGTTTCATATTTAATTCGTTTCCGGTCTCAGTTGGTTTTTTTCATTTTTAATTAGGTTCCAAAAACGCTTGCTTCCTCTTTATCTGACAGTACCATCATCTGACCATTTTCTTATCTGACTGATATTAAGGTTTGAATATCAGATATTTGCCAGGAATATAAGACCTAAAACAACTCTAACATAAATTGGTTGACGAGTAAACACTAGCTACGATCAATTCGGAAATTAAATGAATGCTAAATTACCATCATGGGCAAGATTTTGATCGAAAAATGATCTAATGGGCTTGAGCGCAAAACGTGTTTTATCTTCTGCAGTACTTCCCTGATTTTAGAGCAACTTGATAATCACGGATGACAAAGACTTACAAGCCTCAATACTCCCTGTAAATTTCGATATAAGATTCTTCTGTCCATATACTTAACATAGTCATTTGCGTGTTTGGGGTCGATTTTATTGAGGGTCAGGCTTCAAGTTTACAGTAAAGATTCTGCTACAATTGGCAGTACGACATTGAAAAATAATTTAAGTAATCTTGATCTATATTACAGAAGGGACTTTTGTTACAACATTCAGCCAACTGGAATACTAAAAGTTCTAAACAGTCACTCCTTCCGGAATTTTTTCGGGTAGCAAATATTCGTAGGGAATCTTGAGTTTTGAATTTCGTTCTTTTATTTCCTTTGAGATAATTTTGAGGTCATTCCGGAATGATTCAATAATATCCTGTGCCTCAGCATCGCAAAATAACCGGTCCGGAAAATTCCCAAGTTGAACCTGACGAATACAGTTTAGTTAGGAATGTTTTTCTCGTTACTTATTCAACTCTACAAGAGAATATATATAATTTCTGCACGCAAATCAAAATTCAAGATCGTAGTGTTTGTACTATATTCAGACACTTTTATCCAAAACCAAATAATGTCTCACTCACCTCATCCTCGTAAGATTTTGCAAATGCATGCACCAGGTCAAACTGTAAACAACTCTGACGTTTGTTAGGCAAGCTTGCTGTAACCGTTTCCACGGTTGCCTGAAAAATTGAGTGGTCATATTGCAAATATATACACAATGACCGCTCTCTTTAAAAAAAATCACTTTGCTGATATAAATCAGGGGTAAATGTAGATAGATTTGCACTCTATTAAAGTAAGTTATCGTGATAGATATAATTATTTCAGTGCATGTTTTATAAAATCTATAGATAGGCCCATATATATTTATTGAATCAAATTAATTTTGCAAATTGCTTCTTGTCCTCAAATAATGAACTAGATAAATAATATTTTTTTACATTATCAATAGATTATATCAAACATTTTCATTATTATATTCAAAATACTCACTACTCGTTTAGTTGTTGGTGGGGGTTTTGACATAACCAGTGGAGAGTTAGGTACGTGCATGAATGTATCCATTTGTCCTGAATTGACAGCAGCTTGTTGACAAGATGAAGTGAAGATTATCATTGTCAGTACTTCAACGAGTTCTTTTTTGTTAGAAAAACTTCTCGGGCAACCTGAATAAAATGGAAAACTGTTTGCGCAATTTTCATTGATATATCCCGTCGGTAAAATGTTGATCACTAGTTTTTACCTCTCGAAATACCATCTTCCCAAGCGAACCCTTCTGTATAAACTTCTTTTATGAATGATTGCACTTCGGTATCTTTTACGACAGTCTGAAAATAATAACAATTTTGATCATTCAAAGAACACGGATGAATAATTAAATGCATTAATCAATAGCGAAACCAAGTTACATACACATTGGTAGTTATTGATGTGCTTCTAAATTGTTGACTTACGGTGTCATTTTTGTAGTAGAAGTAGACCATCTTTTCCATATACTTTTGTATTGCATTGTAAAGTTGAGTCGCGTCTTCCATGTAATGAAATTTATTCAACGAGTCAGCGCCTTGCTCTTTCAATCGAATTTTCACGTTTAAAGATGAGAAATCAAAGCTTTTATAAGCTTCTCGCAGTAAGTCCATATGACCGCCGGCACCTTCGGAAAATTTGTACAATGATAATATATTGTATTTTATTGATTAATGATTATATGTATTAAACATTATTGCAACAATTTTTTTTCGCTTCTTTAAAATCCAAACTAATAGAAATCGTATTATACCGCTGCACAATGAATAGGCTTCGTTATTCTACATACATTTTTCTTTATATCCGAAAACATATCATAAGCTCTCACCGTAACTTAAAAGTCTATCAAAAATTCCATCCGGAACAAACAGAGATGTCCTCGCGATCGTGTTTGCAGCACAAACAAAACGAAGATGGGGATGAAGAATTTTAAAGACTGGATGCCTTGAAGATAAACATCGAAACATTGCCACGGCGAATGGTTCAAGAACTAAATGAGTATACATCAGTCTATTGACAATCTGTAAAATAAGCAGTGATCGGATGAAATATTTCTACGCTACATTGCTATTTAGTAGCAAATGGTGTATTCGAGAGAATTTTGGGACCCCTGAGGAAATTTCGTCAAATTCACTGCCTCATATGATGAGCTTGGAATAAAATAGACTAGTTGGGCATTCCATTTCATTTGCCCATACAATGCAAATTAATAACATACAAAAGTCATTTAATATAATCAGTCTGACAAGTATTACCGCCAATATAATATGTAAATTTACAAATGTTCGACGAGAAATAACTTTTTATTGAAAATTATAATCATGCTGCACAATATACAACGGCATTAGCGTAAGTTTGACGAATAATTAAGAAGTTTCGACCTTTTCTTATATATACAAATATATAACTCGCGTCCCTTTCAAGTCAAATTTAGTTTGTTACTGAAACGTACGTGATTATTTTAGATTATGCAGTCTTATGCGCTTACTTGTTGAATATTTCCTTCAGCAGACCGAAAATACATTTTTGCTAACATCCAATCATACTCCGAATCATCGGGAGTCCAAATCGGAGTTTCATCATCCGATTGTTGTCTAAGCTGGATAGCGATTGGCAACAAATCGCCATCGCTGTTTTGATACAGCAAACATATAGGAGCACAAGCATTGGGATGTTGTTTTATATTATTTGCTATTTTGCAATCAACTATATAGATGTTCCCTCGCTGTAACAAAATGACAATCTCATCAAAGATAATATAATGATTGCGTCCTTATGAACGTCTTTCAAGTCCCGCTTCTATGGGTATATTTACTAATTCTTTATAGTCTGAGTAGCTTTTGGCATTTGCGATGGTCGCTCGTAACTTCGCCAAGAAAACTCATAAACGCGAGTTCAATGAAATGGGACTAATCTTCCACATAATTTTTGGGTGTGTGATCGATAGTGAGTAAATGCCCACACAACCTCTATTATATATATTATACCAGCAATTCAGGATTTGTTTGTTTTATTCCAGTTATATATCGGTTTTGCAAAACATAATCGGAATCTTGAGAGACGATTTTATCTATACTCTGCCAAAGACATAATTTCAGCAAATCTCGAATGAACTGGCTTAAACGAATCTCGCGACAATTTTTAACTAAAATGAATTATAAATAAATATAAGTATGACCTATGCATAAGTGCTCGGTTACTGTCATAAGCAATTTGCATCATAGCGATATGGGTCAAATTGGTATTATTATGTTTACTATACCTCTATCTCTTCTCTCAAAGTACTACCAGGTCGGATAAATTTCTTCACCATACTATCAGTGACAGGAAACTTATTCGGAATGCCATCGCATCTAGAAACCGCATTTGGATTGCAACCATTGATCAATTGCCTGCCAAACTCTGCATCATCCAGCCAGCTATAATTTTTTCAACAGAAATATAAAGGCGATATGGAGTTATGGAGTTGAGGAAGACTTTAATCCGATTTTGGACCCTGAGTCAGTTGATAAAAATGACTTTGGTTCGAATTGCTCACTTTGGGTAGGCATAAAATTCGACACCGTGATTGGAATAAACTTAGGCTCGGACTTCAACTCCCGAGTTCGGAAAAATTCACACTTTGACAACCAAAACTTCATTCTTTCCTGTCGTTTTTATTTTTTTTATTTAAATTTTGACCCTTCCTCTGTTAACATTTCGACCCCACTTCCGATACACGAGGATTCGAAAAATGAGTCCATTTCCGCCAAGAGGCCACCATAATTTAGCCATGCTATAGACCCCACCAGTTTTGTATAAAAACAATATTTCTTTAGTTTGTTGAATCTCATGTGTTTCTTATTCAAAATACTTACTTTTTCTGGAACTCGGGCATGTTTGGCAGTCTTGGATGAGACAAAAAAATAGACATTTCTTCCAACGATTCCCATGTTTCAATCAGTTCTGAAGAAAACAAACTTTTTTGTGAACTGATACACCCAACTAAAACCCCCTTGCCGCAATGTGTATGTATGAGTGTAGACAATTAATCTGAATCTGAATCAACCAACAATTTGTACAGATGTGATAATTGGTTTTGATAGTAAAAAATTTGAAAGTACGGCTAGTCAAAAAGTTGCCTACAAGTTGAATTGTTGAATATTTATTCAAACCCTAGAATCGTAAATGAATTGCCTATAGTTTAAATGCAGGTACCTCCGGATAGTGCTTGAATTTTCTCTTGTACATTATGCATGAATATTACTCCTTTAGAATCCTCGAAGTCTTTGTAAAGTCCATCAGTAAACTGAAGATTACGAGGTAAGCCATCATGACTCGGTGCTGCGATGTATCCTTAATTCATAGCGGCATTTTTATACAATAATATATACCATAACATTTTGAGTTTACCTTCTTGAGGATACCTTCGATCAGAAGAAATAAACGAAAGAAAAGCAGTTGGGGGGGCAAGAAATAACTCTGTACATAACTTCTTATTAAAAACTTTACCTGGTAGGCCTCGTGCTGATGGGTCATCCTTTGCCCTCCATTTATACAATCGTCGACGGGAAGATAACTCATTATCACGAAAATCAATTAGGACAGAATTTTCTTCTTCGAGAGGCAAGCGTCCTGAAAACGAGATTGAATGGTTTATTGTTAAGCATTGAACTAACTACTTTTTTGTAACTTTTATGTTATTTTAAACGTAAGATTGCTGGAGCCTAAAAATGTATTAATTATGTAAAAGTACTTGTTTTGTTTAAAACACATAGTTTTCAGCAATATACATATATTTCAAATCTAAAAAACAATCATTGTTCGGAAGCCAGCCAACTCGAGTTAAATTTTGTTTAATGAAGTTTCAAGCGTAAAATTTTAATTAGGCAGAACAAAATTCAAATAAAATTACCTGAACCAATCGGCACCACCGCCATGCCGTCCACCCAAGAATAGACTGGGAATTCATACACTGCTTTATCGCCTGACTTCTGTACTGTTACCGACGAAGCAAACCAGTCAGCAAACAAACCAGTAGTGTCAATTTCTAATAAAAAAATGAATTATTATGAAAAGGTATTTTTATTCTTTGATAACAACCTTAATGTTTTGTATCTGAAGTCCCGTAGCAATGAATAAATGAACTTTATTAATACCTAAAGTGACCAATGTTGGAATTCCAATATCTTCAAGCTTTACTTTGAATTTGTCCGTTGATGCTCGTTCAAAATCATCACGGAAAGTATTGTCCAGTTTGATTCTCGATGTCTTGTCACCTCCAGCTCCAGTTAAACTGAAGTAAACGTTAGCGTCCGTCCCAGCAAACTTCATTTCCCCTGTCTGATAGCATGAAACATAAGCAACTTAGTTCAGTTGGTATTTATATATGTATATATCTAAATTGACACCGTGTCATAAGAAAGCCCGTGGTTTAACTTAGACTTGGAAAAAATATTATATATACTCACTTTCACAATTATTGTGTACAAAATTTTGGTTGAATCAGCGCCTCCTCCAATATTAGGTACCTTCAAGTAACTTTTGGCTGATGAAGAGAGTGACCGTAAACTTCCCAGCATTTTGACAATATATGTATTTAATTTTCTATATGATTTTTCAAATACTATGCGATGCAATAGAAAAAGTAAAATGTCATTTATTCTGTTTGCTACTAAATATTAAAAAAAGCATTACTGATTTGCTAAGAAATAGACTATCAGCTTGTTGCACCTGTGGTTTGCGAAATATCTGGATTGAAGGAACCAATCATAAACTTCATTGGATTTGACAATTACCACTATTGACAAATTAACGCAGAAGTCTTCATCAGCAAGCATGTCTGCCATCCCAACTCTTATTTATTCTACTTCATCCAATACCCGAGATTGAATCCTATGGTTTATGTCTCATATACCCCATTCGAACAGGATAGGGATGGATATAATTATGCTATATCAGTGTCCTGACTCTCTATGGCTCGTAGTACCCTCCCGGAGGCTTTAAGTACCCGCGATATGCTCAGGTCTATTATGTATTTATTTCCCACTGTTTATGGTATATAAAACAAACCGAAAGTCAAAGGTGTTTAAATATACAGCCTATTATTATAAACATTAGAATTTGGAAAGCACAGGGGTATATTATTGTTAAACGAAACCGCTTTAAAATCAATTCAGCGGCGCTTATTATCGTGGCCCCCTCAAACTTCTCTGTGCCCCTCTGAAGGGCCACGGCCCCCAATTGGCAACCACATAGCGGTTTATCGTTGAGAAATGCCAAATTTTAATGAAATATAGCGGAACTGAAATTTGTTCATACAATTTAGTCAATCAAATTAGAAATAGAACGAGGCCGCGTTGAAATTAAAGCCTCGAGATACGATTTCGCTAAACGCACGCTGACATCTTTCTGTTGAAATCATTTAAAAGGCAAATTGCAAAATTGTTCGATTTCTTTAAATAGATACATAGATACTAAATTAGAAAAATATCCTGGTATATACAATGCTTTCATGTAATATAAATTCCAAACAACGAATGACTTTCCCACTGACTGGGGAAGTAAAAACTTTTCAGTCAAGCAAATCGCGCACTTTGATACCGAATATCGTCCACACCGTCATCTACGCCTTGAATTAACTGAATGTACATAAAACAGTACAGTCAATTTATACATTGCTATACAAAAGCATTTATTGTAATTATAATTAAAAATAGAGTAATCCATTGATTAATCGGATAACGTATTGCAAGTTTTAAAAGGAATATATCAGCATGTAAAAGAGGATTATGATATTGCTAAACATATGTTTCAATGCACTGTTGGTTATTAAAGTTGGGACTTTTTATAATAAGTCGCACCTGTTCCACTTGGTCAATTTAGGTGCATCTTTTTTTATACCATTTGTACTGTAACAGTGTGAAATATCGTGTTGAAGCATTTTGATTGCGGGCACGTTTGGGCATCTTCCAATGCTGGTACAAATCACGCTTGCTTGCGAAAGGCATAAAATAAATATCCCGCGTCGTGAACTTATAGAATTCAACGAAAAAAAGGCCTAGTAACGTAACAAAAACTGATTCTGTTTCCGATGACAATGCCAAATTTTTCGCATTTGTAGCCACAATCAAATCAGCAATTTAACCACGTGCCCTAAAACTTTAAAAAGGAAAACTTGATTAAAATTTAGGCCATGGTTAACAGTGGGACTACAGAAATCTATTGAATTGTTTTAATGTATTTGAGCAGAAACAGAGATGATCCAAATAACTATCGTCCAATATCTTCATGGTCTCAATTTGCAAAATTCACTGATGAAAAGACTTGTAAAAGACGAATTTAGGCATTTATGAAGTTATCATAAACTCCCCATTTGGTTTGATTGAAATGCGATGTTGCTATCATTGAATTAAATAGCTACAAATCTTCTCTTGGACAGGTATATCGTGATGCCATGCATGATAGTACTTCTGGCCCAAATTAATTGTGAATTTTTATTCTATTTAATGACCTGAATTATGAACCTTGGTTGAAATTAAATAAATTGTTACTATATCAGCCTACTTCGTTACAATACGCATTCTGGGACATGGAAAAATATGTAGAAACTTCAAATATGAAATTTACACAAATAATCTAGAAAGAGAAAATATAAAAAAAAAACTTACTTGAAAATATTGATTGAAAAACTGTTAACCTTAAAACTTTAAAAATAATTACAATAGTGTCTGTCTGGTCCTTTTTCATCTACCACAGGGTGGTCCAGACTATGGCCGGTGCTAGGAACTGCGGGCCCAATTAGAAATTTGATGACAGGGCCCCTACTCTTCATAGTAAAATTTATGGGTGTATACCAGGCCTGCACAACATACGGCCCGCGGGCCGCATGCGACCCGCTAGATACTTCTGTGCGGCCCGCGGGTCATTTGGAATAAAAAATCTTTGTTATTGTTATTTTTGTTACATTGTTATTTATGCAAGCGCGCCGCTACTCCGATCATATTAGAAATCGTGAGATTTATGTTTTGCACTAGTTTCAATAAATATCGAACTTATTGTAAAATTGGTGTGCCCTTCGCGACCCTTAAAATTCGTCGCTCGACCTCTCGCCCCCCAGTTTGGGAAACCCTGATCTAGATATCTCGGTATTCAAACTGAATCACGCTCAAAACAATATCGGTATACAATCTCACACCCATTAGAGCATATTAGCAACCTATTAATAACCCCACTATTTTTTACTAGCAGTTTATGAAACTGAAGTTTCTTTTTCAAATTTAAAACTTAAAAAACAATTTTTTCATTCATGAATGCTGCAGAAATTGTCGCACAAAATATATTGCTATTTACTGTGAAACTTCAAAAATTTTTGGAGCAGATTTTGTAGAAAAATGTAATTTAACAGTCGAAAAAGTACAACAGAGGAAGATCAATCGCTACTAAACGGATTGTTTGTCCAGCCTGCAATGAAAATATCTAAAAATGTTAGATATGACTGAATACCACCTATATGTGGGACGATTTTACAAAACTGAACCTGAGAAATATATTTTTCTGCAGTCAGTTTATACTGCAACACGCAATACCTAATTCTAATAAAAAAAAAAAAATTGAAAATGAAGGGTCGCTTTCAAGGTAGATGAACCACTAAATACTCAAGAAAATAAGATTCTTCATATGTTTAAGCTTCCCAGTAATGGAAGTTTTTCATCAAATTTAACTGTTTCACAATATTATTTTGTTTTGAAGTTCATCTTGTGAAATATGTATGTGGCAAAGTTTGCGGCCCGCCGGGCCTTCAGATTTATGCTTGCGGCCCTCGTGGTAATTTGAGTTGTGCAGGCCTGGTGTATACTGTATATATCACATATATAAACATACATACAACCCCCAAAATAGACATTTAATATCTGCTATAAAACAAGTGTAAGGTAATGTGGATTGTTCTACTTTCAACATCAAAAAAGTCAAAATATGCAATTACATTATAGTCTTTCAGAAAAATATTTTTTCAAATATTTATTAGCTTTAGCAATCTCGCTTTCTATAAAATGCTTTGACAAACCGTTAAGTTTTCTTGTGAGACCGCAGACCTCAAGTATGTTTTAATTAGTTTCAGCTTTGAAAAGCTTCTTTCGCCTGATGCAACAGTTATTGGCATTGTTAAATAAATTCTCAATGCAATGAAAACATTAGAAAATGAAAATCTATTGTTTTTATCAGATGTTTGAACAGGGCATAAGGCTATTCTAGGTTGAAGGAAAGTTTTCAGAGCTTCAAGTTCTTCAACCAACATATATATACCTATCAACCTCTTGCGTGGCGAGCTACACGCAACACTAGAATTTATTCAACGGCGTTTCGCTGTTAACGGCATACAATTTTTAGATTCAGATATTGTATTTCCGTCGTGCATGTTATATTGAACCGACACAAGTAATAAAAAAAAATGGTAACAAAAAGACCAATTCAAATAAAGAGACATACAATATTTCCGCAATTGATGTGGGGCACGAAAGACTACCAGAGTCAACGTGTCAGCGACACCGTGTTTGCTGAGTTCAACAGCATATGATAGCTCTTTAATTCACATCATCTCATTTTACATTATTATGCAACAAGGCAGTGTTGCATATACTGAACATTACTAATCTGTCGGGTGACATTGAGCACTTGTGTATGCCAATTCTATCAAGTTATTTTGTATACTATTTGTTTTCCGGTTCACACTGCTATTAACAACACAGCACAGCTGTCACCGTATAGGTACACTTTTAAATGATCATTTGTTGAACAAGAGAGCAATGCTCAAATATATGGACACGCAGAACAATTCCCCAAAAATCATATGCGGTGAGCCGGTGACCAACGACTAACATACCGGCGGTGACTTACCAGTACCTGTATCGGGGTACCGTGACGGTACAAGGACTGTCATAGATATTTTAGGTCCTGTGACAATTGAAACATCAGTTGAAATATCTCGTGATATGAGTCAATTATGTACCGTATTATCGGATCAGGTACCGAACCACAGTCAAACATTTCACATAAAAACGTTACTAAATAACATGCGTCAACTTAACACCAGCCGAATCGGGGTACAATTTTTGGTACAGTGACTGTCATAGCCGTTTAGGGCTGATGGACAATTCGACTACACGGACAACTCACCAGGCCTAGGGTGGTGTAGCCAGTCTGCGGACAATTTCATTCAAACCGCTATAAAACAAAAACCAATATATCTAACCCGTTAATTTTTTCACCGTGGGTGCATTGGCGACATTTATTCTACACGCTAAACCTCGTATTAACTTTCTACGACAAAGGGTTAAAGCTATACAAATCCCCAAAGTACGGCACTCGAAAGACGTATTTGCGACCGAACGACCAGTGTGCGACCACGATTTCAAGCCTTGATCATCGTTTCTGCTGCGTCGAGACTATGGCATACGCAGCCATACAGCAATCAAACAGACAAAACACGGTGGTCGCAAATTGGTTGACAATTGTTGGTCTTGTGACAGCGTGAAAACATTGGGCTTCTAATTGTATTTCTGACCGTCATATATTTCAAGAACACGGTTATTTCGAACAAAACTCGTTAAATTATAAACAAAGCACCACATCACAGC